GAGCCCCGCGCTCCGCCCGCCCGACGCGGCCCGCAGGGGGCGGGCCCTCGGCGCGCGCTACCGCCCACCGCTCGCGCTCATTGGGTAGAAGCCGACCCGCGCCTCCCGCTCTAGCGTTTCGATTGGTTGGACGCGCCCCGGCGCTCGTCGCGCCCCCTCACGATTGGGCCGAGTGCCCGACCGTCTAGAAACGCCCCGCGCTGATTGGGCGCTGCGAATAGCGGACTGGCCGGAAGGGGTGGGAGCCAGGCGCCGGAAGCGGCGGCGCACGCGCTCTGCGTGTGTCCTTGGGCCGGGCGCGCTGACCGCCGCCTCCCGCCCCGCTCCCGGCACGCGGACATTTCCCGTGCCGCCGCCTGCCGCCATTTCGGTCTGCGGCACCGGAAGCGGCGCCCGGAGCCCGCGGCCGCGCAGTCAGAGGCAGCGGAGGCAGGGTGGAGTCTTCAACAGTTTATTAGAAAGAATGTAGACATTAAAAAAATTCCCACCGCTCTGAACAGAAATTGAGGTTTGTCAGCCTGGCCGGGTAACAAAGAGCCCCGTCGGGTAGAACAGATGTTGTCACTTGCTTCCATACCAGCAGTGCAAATACATTTGGTCTCACGTACAGATCCACAAGCAACGACGCGGCCCCACGGATCCATGGGGTGGGGGTGGAGTTTGGGCCTCACCCCTCACGGCGCGGGGCACCAGGACACACACAGCTAACCATTAAATAGCAAACAGAGAGAATTTTGTTTCCTTTTTAATAAAAACATTAGTGGAACACACCTGAAGACACCACAGAGGTATTGCGCAGCTTGTTCAAATTTTGGTGAGCCAAATCCAAGAAGAGTTTTTTTGTTCCGGGCACAAAAGTCAGATTTAACCGTGGGCCACAAGGGGGAAAAAGCCAATCGAGCACAGGACGCAAGGCCTGCTCTGCTATTAGGTCTGCTACGAGGCAAGGAGGCTCTGTAAACTTTATTGCGACTGTTCCGGATCGATTGCCCATACCTCAATTGGTTTTTGGAAGTCTGGAATTCATGCATAACGTCATTTATTGCCTCTCGTGGCTTAAGACTGCCCCGCACAATGGTACACACCTACCATCAGTGAAGCCATTTAAAATGGACTGAAAAAAATGGGTTAAAGGATGCAATATCTCCCCTTAGGGCTATCAACTCAGGAATTCTTATCTCAATTATGAAATGTGATGAAGTTCTTTCCCCAAACCCTGAAGACGACAGTTTTCTTTACTCCAGATCTGGCATTTCTAAAGAGGAGAGAAGAAAAAAAAAAAAAGTATTAGTGTTTATAATAATACCAGCTGCAACAAAAACAAAGCCACCAACCGCCATATTGCGGCACGGGCAACGTGAGCAAGCAGACAGAGCCCACAGCCAGGAAAGGCACAGAGCAGCTCAGGGTCTCTGGGCTCAGCGCCGCAGAGGCGGCTCTTCACAAGGAAGCTCTGCGCAGGGCAGGAGTTCAACTGCGGCAGCACTGCAGGCTCTGACGCTCGCCCAGCGGGGCTTCAGCAGCCCAGGAAGGCCGCAGTGCTGCACACAGGCGTGCGAAGGCTTCGCAGAGCAACATCCCACGTTGCGGGGAGGCGCCGGCATCAGCTGGCAGCCCGGATTTCGTGTGACCCCAGGGCAGCGCAGCCGGCCTGCGCAGCTCCTCCAGCCCCGCGCGCGCGGAACGCTGCACAGGGGCAGAGGAAGGCGGACGCCGACTTACTTTCATCATCACTGTCTGGTGAGTCCTGCAAAGAAAAATGACAGTAAGTGGAGCAGACGATGCTTGCGGGCACCTTCAGAAGCTCAGAGCAGCAAGCCTGCGGTCAGAGCATCTTCCAGGGAAGCACGGGTTCTTCAGGACAGGGCTTGGCCAAGTTTCACCAGCAGCTGCCTGCAGCCACCAAGCACTGCAGCACCAGAGCTGCCTGGGACACCGCAAGCCCTGGTGCGACTGCCCACAGCACAACCGAAGGGGCAAACAGCTCCTGCTGCTCAACTGCAGCACTTCACAAACAAGGTCTGGCATCATTTATACTTAGAACTGTGCTGAAGTGGGGAACGCAAGCTTGACTTCAGCAAGTAGCACTGAACGCGCAGCCAGACCCCCCCGGCTACCGCAGAGTACTCACATCATCTGCCCCATCTACTTCTGGTAAGTCTACATCGTCATCTCCACCCATGTTGTTCATCATCTGTTTTACAAAGATAAAAGCCACAGAGTGAAGCCTCACAAACAGGACTAAAACCCCATAAAGCAGCTTAAAACTGTGATAACCAACAGCCACCAGGTTTTTGACAAGCCTTGCTGCTGCTATGCAGAAATTACAAGGTGACCGACACCAGCGGGACACGCATTCATTCCACATTTGATAACGAGCTGCAGTGCCAAGAGCCCACAGCACGACTTCAAGCAACTGCAGTCTGCCCCGAGCTGTAACTTCCTGCCCTGAGCTCCCCTGCTCGTCAGCACTGCACCAAGGGCCTTCCTCCCTGGGTGAGACGGCAGGGAGCAGGAGGGAGGCAGAGGAACAGAACTCCCTAAAGCCGTCTGTCTCTGCCTGCCCGCACACCCAGCCGAACAGAACCCAAACCTCCCGGAATTCATCTTCCCATACCTCAGAAAAGCGATCAAAATTGGACATGTCTTCATCTGAATCATCTTCCCAGTCTTTCCAGTTGTTGAAATCCACGCTGAGCCAGTTGAGCTGTGTGTTAACACACAAAAATGGAAGACAAGCTGTCAGCACACAGGAAGAGAGCTGCCAGCGCTGCCATCCCAACCAGCAGCAAAGCAAGCGGCCTGCAAACGCCGCACCATTCCAACACCACCCCACCCCCAAAAACAGAGGGGCCATCAGGACTGCTGCTACGGCCACCAGGGGGATGCAACCCACCTTTGCCCTCTCTTTTGTTAACCTTGGCCATGCCTGACCAGATTCTCCTTTTCGTAAACAACACAAGATAGATCTGTCTGTTCTTTTATGCTTTGATTCCTGGGGAAAAAAAAACAAGTAGATATTGGTTAGTTTGGTAATCACTGCCACCACCACGAGCTTGTAGCATTCATTGTTTTGAGCCTTAAGTTATCCTCTGTCCTGAAAAGCACTGTCTGTTCCTAAAGCTACTTCCAGTATTGTAAGGAAGCTGGTCCTTAGAGCGCAGAGCGCTCAGACACACGAAGTCACCGCGTGGTGTTTGTCAGAACGGCTCCATTACGAGCAGATCTGCATCAATCCAGACATCAGTGCTTCGCTTTTAATCACAACAGTGAGAACTGTGAGCAAAGGCAGCAGGCGAAGCAGTGCTGAGCGCCTGGGGCTCCCTGAGCAGAACTCCGTCCTGCCCCAGGGTGGGGAGGACAACAGGAAGCAGCAGCAGCTGGGGAAGCAGCTCTGCTCTGCAGGGTGCAACTCGCTGCAGGAAAGGCAGGCGTGCGTGAGGAAGAGCTGAGCGTTCTGCATGCGGCGTTAAGAAGGTGCAGGAGAGCTGCAGAGGATACTTACATTTGGATCAATATTATTAAAAAGGTCGATTTCGTTTAAATGCTTAAAGTTATCGCTTCCTCCAAGACAACTGGAGAGAGAAGAAAAAAAGCACTCAGCAGGGAGCAAACGGCACCGATCCAGGCTGGCAGCAGAACTGGCTGCTTCCAGAGACGTCGCCCAACAGCAGCGGCTGCGCCGAGGCGCCCAGCACCCACCTGAACGTGAGCTTGGACTTTTCAAAGTTTACATTGACATCTTTGCTGTCCTCCACGCAGAACTCCACGAAGACGTAGTCCCTCCGGTCGTACCACTTGGCAGAAGCAGGCTGCCTGCAGACACACATCAAGATGCACAGGTCAGGGCCGCTGCTCGCCTTCAGCTTCCCTCTGTTTCCCCGAGGCACAGAGCAGCCCGAGTCAGAGCGCATCTGAAAACCTTCTGCCTGTTCTCAGCTACGAGCTCACCATTAACCACCTTTAAAAGTGCATTTAAAGCTGACGAAGAGACACAAAGGCTGAAGAGAAAACAGGCTCAGAGCTTCAAGTCAAACCCAGCTGGAATCAGTACCACCAAACCAGCACCGTTCTGACCAGGTTTAATTTCCACACCTGCATCTCCAAGCCGGCAGCCCTTGAGACAGGGCAACTTCTGCCCTCCTGCAGCCAGCAGAACAACACTGTCAGCCCACAGCTGCACAAAACACTGCAGGTTCCTCAGCTTCATCCTGCTCCACCTCCAGGTGAGCGGCAGCATTTGAGTGCACGCAGCCCCGGCCAGGGGGGACCAGCAGCCCTGCTGACAGCTCCCACACAGCCAGCCCCCCCAGCACAACATTCCAGCGCTGAGCACGGGGACACCCAGCAGGAGCTGCTGTTGCTATGTGTCATGGTTCACTATGGCACAGTGAGCACGGACGCTTTGCTCCCAGGCCGCGTTCCAGAGACGTGAGCAGCACTGGAATTTCAATGTTTTGGGCCCAAAGTTTCCTGTTCTGAACCCAGTGGTCGCCTCTTTTGGTATTTACAGCACAGCTCCAGGCAGTGAAGGCACACCAGGACGCACGGAACACGGTGCTGCTCTCTGCAGCATCTTCACACCGCGAGGCGCTCGGACTCAGCACTGCACTCTGAAGCATTACGGCACAAGAGCCCAAGCAAAGACGGATTAAGTTTCCAGAATGTTCCATCAGGGTGACCGCCGCTAAGCTTCCACAGCAGATCTCAGCTCCCAGCCCCTTCAGCTGCCGGCACCGCGCTCACCTGCACTGCGACCCGCAGCCACTGCTGCGAGCCAAGGCAGCCCACAGCCACTGCGAGTTCCCTTCCGACTGCGAAGAGCTGGGACCCAGCTGCTGCGATTCGGCTGCCAAAGGCGAGTGAGCAAAACGAGCACCAGGAAAAGGGCTGCTGGGGAGGAAAGCAGGCGGCCCTCAGCCGTGCGCAGCGAGGCCGAAGCGGATCCACTCCGCGGCCATCCCTGCACTGCCCCAAGGCGGTCCGCTTTCAGTTTCTCTGCCTGCAGCCGCGAGAGCAGCAAACACCGCGGGTGCCCACAGCCCTGCAGAGCTGCACGCAGCAGCCACCGCTCCGCTAAGGGACAGAGATCCCGCACCCCGAGCGGCCTGTCACCACAACAGCAGCCTCAGTGTCCCCGCCAAGCGCGGCGCCGGGGCTCCTGTGAATAGCGAGGAGCCTCTGCACGTGCTGCAGTGCCGGCGGAGACGTCCCCGACCTTCCTGCGAGCTGCACGCGTTCCCCAGTCGTGCTGCTGCAGCCCAGCCCTGCTGCTGGGATCTTTATTGAGATGCAGCGTTCGGAGGCACCATCAGCACTGCTCTCAGAGCCTCCAAAACCTCACCAACTGCACTACGGCTTAGCAGAATGAACTCGTGTTCCTAACGGCAAACTTCTGTTACCTCCCCAGACGCTGAAATACCTCACCGTCCCACATCAGAACTGTGACAAAGTCTCACAGGAAGGAACCACTCAGCGATTTTTCCCCCCCTCTCAGAACAGAGGCCTTCCCCGGGCTGCTGGATGCAGCACTTGAGGCAGGACTCAGCATGTGAATAGGGCAGCTATGCAGGAATCCCCACCAGAAGCCACCACCCCATGCTGTGCTGCTGCCCACACCACGACTGCTGTGCGCAGCCCCTGGGCGAGCAGCGCAGGTGGTTCCCCCACAGCCTCGCAGACCCAGAACCCATTTCCTCACAGCATGGGAAGGATGTCAGGATCGTTAAGCAAAGCCCTGCGCTTCCTCCTCGCTCAGCTGAGCTCATAGTATGAGAGCAGAATAAATTAATTGAACATTACCTCAGCCTTATGCCAACATTGTCAACTCGAGTGTGTGCTCTGGTGACGGATCATCCTCCTGTCCTGACCACACTCAGCTGCTCCAGAACAGAGCAAATAAACGTTACGTCCCACCCAGCAACAAACTGCCAGGCACAAAGCAGTGCCCAGTGCAGCAATGGAACCCTCCCCAAACTCCTGGTGGGCTCTCATCACCACCCACAGATTCCAGGAACCTCCTGAACAAACACCGCCACTCTACACCTCTGTTGGACCCTCCTCTCATCATGGAATCACAGAATGGCCTGGGTTGCAAAGGACCACAATGACCATTGAGTTCCGACCCCCCGCTGTGTGCAGTCGCCAACCAGACCAGGCTGCCCAGGGCCACATCCAGCCTCCAGGATTGGGGCATCCACAGCCTCCTTGGGCAACCTGTTCCAGGGCCTCACCGCCCTCTGGGGAAAAACTTCTTCCTCATATCCAACCTAAACTTTCCCTGGCTCAGTTTAAAACCATTCCCCTTGTCCTATCGCAATCCAACGTGGATGGCATCACTGCAGCACTGCGCTGGGTTGAGAAGCCCCCTCACCCTTTGGTGGGCACAGCTGGGGGGGATCCTCACGCCCTGTGCCCCCGGGTTGAGCTCAGGTCACACTGGGCGCTGCTTGAGGCCATCCGGGATGTTCCCAAAGCTGCCCACGTGCTTTTTCTTACCCATTCTGCACACTACAACTCATTGGGAAGGCACATTCCTGTTCTGCAGAGCACCCTGATGGTTACAGACATCATCTGCCGGACAAAGATTCTCACCCCCAAACAGGATCACAAGAAAACCTCCCAGCTCCACATCCAGCGTTACAAGTTCTGCTCTGCATACCTACTTCGGCTTTCATCTCCCAGCACCACGTGGGCCCTGTGAGCACAACCCCGGGCGCAGTGCAGCAGCGCCGAGGTTTCGGGATGAGGCACTCCTCAAATGTTACACAGAGCACTGCGATGCTTTTCTCCTTTTCAATCACATCCAGCAGCGCCGGAGCTCAGAGCGGGGCCACGCAGGTGCTAAGGGGCAAAACCACGCCGCTCCCATCGGACGCATCGCCGAGCAACCGACGTTTATCTGCCCCAAGCGCCGAGTCTGGGACAAATAAAATCCGTCGGAACGGCGCCGCCGTTCGCATCACTTTCAATCACCGCGCTTCTATCGGAACCGAACCCCCAACGGCCCAGCCCCGGGGGCTCAGCGCTCAACGCGGCCCGGCGCCCCCCCGCCCCGTCCACCCCCTCCAGGCCCCACCCCGGGCCGCAGCAGCGGGCGGCCCCGCCCCGGTGCCCATTCATCGCGCGGCGGAGCGGCGCGGCTCGGAGTGGCTCCCGGGGCCTCGCGCGGCGCCGTGCCGGGACAGGCCGCGGATTGGGGCCCGCCGCGCGGCTGAGCGCGGAGCTCCCGGCCCGGCGCGGCGCGGCCCCCGAAGGTCAGCGCCGTTCACGCGAAGGCCCGGCCCGGCCGCGGCGCGCCCCGGAGCGCTGCGACCCCCCGACCCCCCCGGGGCCCCACATGGCGAGAGGCGTCGGCGGCTCCGGCTGGCGCTGCTCGGGGCGGGGGGAGGGGCGGCCCGTCCGGCTCCGGGGCGCTCCGGTCCGGTCTGGCGGTGACGCGGCTCGGTGCGGCCGAGGGCTCCGGGCGCTCCGCGGGCTCCGGGCTCGGCGCGGCCTCGGCTCCCACGATGCTCCGCGCGGCGGCGGCGCCCAGCGTCGGTGACGCAGCAAAATACCGCCGCGCCGATTCGGCCGCCTTCGCTGCGCATGCGCATGCCCCGCGTGTCGCCTCCCGCGCGCGGGCCACGCCCCCTCCCCGTCCCCCCCCTCGCGGGCGCCCGCTCCCTCCTCCCTTCTAGCAGCTTCTCGGCGCGCATGCGCACTGCGCGCGCCGTCGCGGGGGGCGGAGTCGGCGGTTGCCATGGAGACGGGGGGCGTCCGAGAGAAGCTGCGCCTTCACTCAGTGCGGCTCTATCAATTAACTTTTATTAACTGATAGAAACAGTACAAATTTTAAATTTAGGTTCCTTTAACTCTTCTCTGAAATACCAAAAAAAAAAAAATAGGCTCCTCCATCTGGACGGCTACATCGTCAACTCCTGCGGAGAGAAAGAGGCGTCAGCAGCCCCCCAGTGACCCCCAAACAGCACGGGGGAATGGGGGTGCAGCCCCCCCCCGGCACTCAGCAGCTCACCATTATAGCGTTTACGATGTCGTTGCTGTTGTTCTTCAGGGCGCGAACTGCCTTTGCTCGGGACACGTTGGCCTGGGACATGACCAGCTCGATGTCTTTCACCTCCACACCGGTTTCGTCAACCTAAGGACACAGAGCGCGGGTCTGACTGCAGCCGAGCACCGTTTGCTCTGAGCAGCCCCTGCTGTGCCGCCCTAGAGGCACCCTGCTGCCACTGAGGCAGAGGTGGATGGAGGAGAACTCTGTGCCCGCACACAAATCCTGCTGGCTGCCCATCAGACACAACCACGGGCAGGAGGTGGATGGAGCAGCCCTGCGGGGCCGTGTGGGGAAGGCTCACCTCTTCTTCCTCGCTCTCCTCCTGCACGGTGGGAGTCTGTGTGTTTTCTTGGATGTTTGACACAGCTTCTCCTTGCACTTTGAACTTTTCGGCAGCTGCCAGCTGGGCCTGCTGGGACAAGTCTTCAATCTGGAGGAGGGAAGGAGCAGAAGTAAGGCCAGGGCTCAGATGGGCGAGGCTGAGCTCAGGAGCACCCACACGCAGCAGCCCCACAGGGATGCAAGACATTGGTGTGGGTTGTGGGCCTGCCTGCACCACCCCAGGGCACAAATAGGGGTGCAGGCAGCAAGGACAAACCCCCAGCAGCCCTCACAGCTCTGCAGCCTGCCCTGCTGCTGTGAGCATGGAGGAGCGTGGCTGCCTGGCACGGCAGTGAGCTCACCTTTGCTTCTCCAAAGACTATATAGGTGTCTGATGCTGGGCTCTTGTACACGTCTGGTTTTGTGATGACAAAGAGGATGTTCTTGGATTTGCGGATGGTGACTCTGGTTACTCCTGTGACCTGGCGGAGGCCGAGTTTAGACATTGCCTGAAAAACAAATGAGAAAGAAAAGCGGGGGGATGAAGAGGTGCTGAGGCAGCTCAGGCCGTGATGAGATGTGTCCCCTCATCAGACATCCCCAGGTTTTCAGACTGACACAGCGCAGAGTCCGGGAGGAAACTCAACCCCCAGGACAGGCGAAGATCCACGCCATGGATCCACACCATGAGCTGGAGCCACTCCAGACGCAAGGATTTTGCCTGTGAACAGGGACATTCCCTTGACTAGGGGTTTAATGAAGACAAAAAGTCATACAAACCTCTTGCAGCTCCACAGACCCTACTGCTGCAGTGCTGGGTGGGGAGGTGAGGAGCTGCTGCCCCAAATGGCTTCCCAAAGCAAACGCCAAGCACTTGGGGAGGGGTAATATGCCAGACCCAAAGCCAGAGGTTGTCCACACGCACTTCTGCCCATCTGCCATCCCCTTACCTTCCGTGCTTTCTTTTCACTCCGGCTCTGTTTTGCTTTGCTAACAGGTTCTTCATCTATTTCAGCTGCTGCTGCAAGCTGCAAGAAGAGCAAACAGGAGAGCGCTGTGAGAACCAGGCAGAGCTGGCGGGGCGCAGGGCTCCTCTGACCCCGCAGGCACAGGGGTGGCTCCTCGCACCCCTCCCTACCTGTGCCTGCTGTGTCGTGGCCTGTGTGGAGTCGTGCTCTTCGAGCTCTGGTACAGACTCATCGCTGTCAGACTCTGTTCCGGACCCTGCAGAAACGAACACGTCACAGTTCTCAGCTCGGCACCTTGCCAGAAGCTGCAGGTAGCTTCAAGGGACGCAATCAGATCATGGAACCCTAATGCCTTGGTGTCAACTGTCGCTGGGGGTTCCAGGTGCTGACACAGTTAAAAAGCCCCAAGTGAAATGCATTGCCATTAAATACGCTTGAGCAGCACCTGGTGGGAGGAGCTCTCCTTGCAGCCACGAGCAGGGACAGCGGCGGGCCACTCAGTGCCACCGGCTCAGCGCCTCCCGGCTCTCAGCACGGTGGAAGCTGCCCAGGAGCGGCCACAGCAGGGGGTTGTGACCGGCCAGGCGGTGCCCTGTGGGGCTGCCGGAGCTCTGCGTGGGCCCAAAGGCTCGCTCCAACGCCAAGGCCCCTGACCAAAGCCTCGGCCCAGGTAGGGCAGCGCCGCCCAGGGCTGTGAGTCAGCAGCAATGCTCTCAGAGCTCCTCAAACCTGTTCAGCAGCTGGTGCTGCAGGAGCTGAGACACGGCACTGATTCAAGACCCAGTCCACCAGGTCCCTGAGGCTGCTGCACCTCTCTGTGACTGGATGACAGGATGATCCGTACTTAGTTTGAAAGCTCTCATCAAAGAGCACCATTTTGGACACTCAGGTCGGCCTCTCCACCAGCTCTTGCTGCTGCAGCGCACGGAACCTTCCAGAACACTGCACAGCTTTGCCTGCCGTGCAGGAAGGCACAAAGCAGAGCTGTGTGTCTCCAGCCCGCAGAGCAGGCTGCCGGTGTGCGCGGCGCTCTCTCATGCAGCCGTTACCCAACTTCACGCCTGTTTCCTTCTCTGGAACCACGCACACAGGAGCCCGCACAAAGGTCCCTGCGGGTTGCTGGGAGATGCCAACGCCCCAGGATGGAGCTGGCACCAGCACGGCCCCCAGCTCCGCACTTGTGGGGGACAGACAGCGGGAAACACACAGCCAACACCGAGCCCACGCAGCTGGGCACAGCGCGGAGCAGCTCTTCCCGAAGCTCCAGCTCAGGCAGCAGTCCCAGCACGCACACAGCTCACACCGCGCTCCGTGCCCGAGGACACTGTTAGTGACAGCAGCCTGCAGGCGCCGTGCCGAGCGCCGCAGAGGTGATGGCACAGCCTCGGCCCCCCACCCCCCTCAGCACGGCACACGGACGCACCGGGCGGCACGGGGGGCACTCGGGGCCCGTGGTGGGTTAGTATCTGGTGGGCAGCCAGCGACACTCCATGCACACGGCAAACCGTGCTGACCAGCAGTACCCTTGTCGTTCTTCACCATGGGCTGCTTAGGAGCGGGGGCCTCGGCTGCTCGGGGAGAGAGGTCCACCAGGATGGGCTGCAGCGGCGGCTCGGCAGCGGGCACCTCGGGGGGGATCAGGGGGGGCAGGTCATCATCGTCATCAACTGCAGCACTGGCGGGAACGGGGGCCTTCACGGGAGGCTTGGTTGGGGACGGACGTGGGGCCTGCTTGCTGCCTTTATTGGTGGGGGGCTGCTTCTTGGCAGGGGCAGCATTCGGCACAGAAGAGGCAGGAGGGGTGGCCTCTGTTTTCTGGGGCGTGGGGGCAGCACGATCGGCTGCTGGCTTTGGGAGGGCACCAGGAGCCCCCGGGGCTGAGGCAGCAGCACCTGGAGCCGGAGGCAGCGTGCCAGGGGCTGCCGGGCTGGCAGGAGCTGCCTTGGCTGCAGGGGGGGCAGAGGGAGCAGCAGGGGCTGCCGTGGCAGCAGTGGGGTTCTTGGGAGGTGCTTTGGCTGCAGCAGGGGCAGAGGAATTAGACTGAGTGGCAGTGGGGCTCTTGGGAAGTGTTTTGGGTGCAGCAGGGGCAGAGGGATTAGACTGGGTGGCAGTGGGGCTCTTGGGAGGTGCTTTGGCTGCAGCTGAAGATGCTGGAGCTGCAGGGGCAGGGGGAGCAGATGGGGCAGCAGTGGGGCTCTTCGGGGGCTTTTTGGCCGCAGGGGGGGCCGCTGGAGTTGGTGGAGCTGTGGCAGGAGCAGAGGGAGCAGCCTGGGCAGCAGCAGGGCTTTTGGGGGGCTTTTTGGCTGCAGCTTGGGCTGGTGCAGCAGAGACAGAGGGGGTAGCAGCAGAGCTCTTTGGGGGCTTTTTGGCTGCAGTGGGGGCAGCTGGAGCTGCAGGACTTGGTGGAGCTGCTGCAGCAGAGGGAGATGATGTGGCAGCAGCGGAGCTCTTAGGGGACTTCTTGCCTGCAGGGGGTGCAGCTGGAGCTGCCAGCACAGGTGTGACAGGTGGGGAGCTGGCAGGGACAGAGGGGGCAGCAGCTGGGCTCCCAGGAGCTGCTTTGGCTGCAGAGGGGGCAGCTGGAGGAACTGCAGGAGCTGGTGCAGCAATAACAGGGCTCTGGGAAGCCACTTTGTTGGCAGCAGGGGCAGCTGCAGCTTGGGGAGCTGCAGGAACTGCAGCAGCAGAGACAGAGGGCGTAGTGACTGGGCTCTGGGGAGCTGCTTTGGTGGCAGCAGGGGCAGCTGCAGGAG